GTTATTGGAAAAAGGTCTAACATGACTGAGAATGATTTTTATAGAGTTGGCCTACAAGACTTAATATGGAAAAGATACCATAGATAGCTAGAAGCCTGGTCTTTATTGTATATGCATACAATATAAGCTTACATGAAAAATTGCATAAGTGGGCTGATATAATATGATTCATGACATAATTGATATATGCATATCATAAGATTGATACAAAGGCATACGATATATATATATATATATATATATATATGAATCACATGGTATATATAATATATTGTATATGATATTAATACTATATGACATGCATGTATATAACATTTATAGAAAACTTACTTAATACGATAGACAAATTGATATATATGAGATGGATTATAGGTTGAAATAAAGTATAAAGTATAAATATGCATAGTTTCATAACAAACTTTTAAATTGGAAATGAGAATAGGAATGATAGAACATGCTAATAACAAATTGTATTGATCCTTTATATGGCCACTGATCACTAATTATGAGTTACATTGCTTGTATTGATTTTCTTTGTACATATGAAATCATAATACTCAAATTCACCAATACTCCATTATTGCTACATATTTAGATTCGTATGGATGGAATAAATAAATGTATATTACTTTTATTTTCTTGCACTGATTGCAGTTGTAGGCTCTTACAATCTACTGAGTTATTAGGTCACCCTGTGGCTTTTACATGTTTAATAAGAAGGGGTTAGGACCCAATGGAGTGAGGCTGAGCAGGGTTTCTAGGTTTTTTTTTTTTTTTTTTTTTTTTTTTTTTTTGTTTTTTTTTTTTTTTTTTTTTTTGTATTTTGGTTTTATTCTTTTGTAACTATGAATGTCTAATAGACTAATGTTAGAAATTAGTTCCTGGTTATTGTACATGAATTTGAGAAATAAATATAAAATTTCAAGTTGATGAAGAAAGGTTTATAGTTATTTTCAATGGCATTATTTGCACTAGTTGATTATTAGAAGCTTTGGTAAATTATTTAAGAGATAAAATAAGCAATTCTTCTAAATTTAGATCTTGGGGCATCACAGACCCCATACATATATGTGTAGCAACTCTAGCAATATGGATCTGAGCTCTCTTCCAATTTTATGAAACTAAAAATCTTTTATTTCCATTGAAAAAAAATCTTCATAAAACATGAATTCAATCAATTTTAAATTTGAAAATTTACCTTTGGTTTGAATAATTTAAGGCATTTCTCACTCATGTGGCATAACCGTTAATTCCATAAATTAGAATTTGACTCTTCATTAGTGGAAACTCCTATTATTCCAATATTGTTGGTGGGTAAAAAGTGTCTATTTTGATATCTCAAGCAATTACCAAGGTTGTTTTTTTCACTTTTAATATCATCATCAAAAGTAGCACGACATCCTTTTATAGTTACAAGTAAATGGAGATCTTTTTTCACCTTAAACCAAGGATATATCTAACTTTATTTAGCTTTCAAGTGTTCCCACATATTAATACGGTTTTCACATCTCCAATGCACATAAAATTCAAGGGCTCATCATCAGTAAGAAATAATTTATCATAATTATCTATAAAGTAGAGTGTCATTAAATCTTTCTTCAATGAAGAATAAAAAGATGCACATTATTCTAACGTTCATGCCTCTATTAGACTATTTCCACTGAGTATCTTCACATACCGAGTGTCTTTCATAATGGCATTCAACATTCCTTTTTTGGCTTTTGGCTCTATTTATGCCTATTTTATCTATATTCTTTCATTATGTTATTAGGCTTACTACAACACCATCTTTCACTTAAGCTGTCTTGAGGCCTTCTATTGTGATTTGATTCAAAGAACTTGCCATGAGATTTTGGTTTTTCTCCATATTAAATGTTGCCAATTTTTTTATACATGCTCCTATTATCAATATTTAAAATAAAAACTCATTACTTTTATCTTTCTGATGTAATATGATATGCTAACTAAGAATAATATCATTCATTTCACTAAGCCTCAGTATAGATGGTCCATAGTAGCTATTGATAGCTATGACAACACCACATTAGCCTTGAGGAAATAACAAAATCAAGCTCAATGCATGGATCTCGTCATCATACTTGATGTTTATAGAGTTTCATTGGTTTGCGGTTGAGTTTAGCTTACTGATATGATAAGTGATTGAAGCTCCTTCCAAAATCTTTTATTTAAACAACATGTTGATGATTTGTACATTATTAAATATAGATGGATTTTCATACATATTTACGAGTTCCTTCATGACACTAATTATTGTGGTCTCATTAAGAATGTTAAAGGTGATGTGTATGTTAAAGGATGATGATTGAATGTTAGAGATTGTTCATCCATCAACTCCCACTTTTCTTGAAAATTGAACCTACCTTTACTCCTTTTAATTGTTGATGGAGTATTTTTTGGTACCAATAGTTTTATATTTGCATATTTAATAATATAATAATTAAGCTATTGAACTTATTAATTTTTATCTTCTCATCCTCCATGCTTAAATCTAAAATCTTTTTAAACTATAGCCTGGATACTCGTTATTATAATAGTAATAAAACTTTAAGTAATAACTAAAGTAGGATGAAAGAATAATCACATCAAATATCTCAAACTCAAGACACCAAGGTTTATGAATAAGTGAAGCTCATCTACATCCACAATAGCATAGAGATCAAATATTTCACTAAGCTTCAAAAGTGATATGTGGAGAGATATTACACTTCATATAAAAGAAAAATATCACTTTATCTATGCTAATGACTAAGAATGAGCACAACCACCATTTATCAAAATGAGGGTTGATTACTCTTTTCCTTCTCTTCATTTCTCTATTTTAAGAACCTCTTATTTTATTTTCTTCTCCCTTCCTCATCTCTCCTTTTTTTTCTTATGATTGTAGAATGCTTATCAAATCTTAATTTCCTAATCTCAAAGAAATGTCTCAGTCAAAAAATGTCTACCCATGTTTAATCAACCCTAGCTAACCCACCATAAGTCAAAACTATGTCTTATTCACCCTTAATGTTCCCAAGAAATATTAAGCTACTCCTTCAGCAAGATCAATTCGTTGGAGGAATTAATTCTAAGGCTACATTATAGAAGAAGCACTTCTAATGCCTATGATATAGACAAAAAGGACCATGATATAACAGGTAGAGTGTTCGTGTTGGTGCTCGATCTACTGAGGTGATCAACATCATGGTGGGATCTAGGAGTGGTGTTATGAGTGGAGAAGAATCTAAAAAATAGATTTTGATTGAAGGTACCAAGTGATGTAGGGAAACATAAACTCGATAATAAGAAAACATTATTTGAAAGCATGCAACAATGACCTAAGAAGAAATTAGGCTCTCAATAAATGAACCATTAATATGATTTAAGAACCTATTTATCAATTTTAGTTTGCTTAAGAGTATAAGCTATATAAAATCTTAAGATAATAATAAGGAAAAAAAAAAACTTTCATCCCTTCATAATTAGACTATAATCTTATTTTTAGTTACAAGGCAACCCTCATAATATCAACTCCTCCCAAAAAATCAAAAATATCAATTAAGAAAAGAAAAAAATAACTTAAAATAGCAAACTAACTAATTAACTATATAAAATAATATTTTGATTAATGGTGTTATTGGCCCATAACAACCAAATAGCTAAAATATAATCCTTTGTCTCAAATGTAGAGAAATTGATTTTGTAATATATTATATTACTAAATTATCTTTAGTAAGTTGTGAAGTTACTTATGTTGATACTTTTTTGGTAAAGAGAATATTTATCCTTGATCTGAAGGAGTGCTTGTTAATTTCACTGTAGCTAAGAACCCTTCAAAAAAGTGATAAATAAATTATAAAAGATGGGAAAAATACAATAATGCCAAAGAGTTTGTTTCCATGATGAGCCCATCTCCATCAACAATAATCATTCAGTTAACACAGAAGAAGAAGAATGATCAATTAGACCAACCAAAGTTTACTAAACAAAGTGTCAAGAATAAATGAATTCTTTTCATTATGGGAGGTTCATTTAAGAAGTACAATTACTAAAATAACTAAGCTTTGATAATGCCTCAACTACAAAATCTTCATATGTGTTTGAATTGATCAATTCTTATAATAATGGCATTGATTTATAATAAAAGTACTTTTAATATTCTATTACTATGAGAATATGCTCTGAGAAATAAAATGAAAGCATGTTTTATCTTTAACATGAAGACCATAAGATCTTAAAGGATCTTATTAAAAATTTGACCATTGAGTGGGTAGCTTAAAGAATTAATAACTAGTTGGTGTAATAAGTGGTAATCACTTAATAATAAGTATACAAGTCTGAGTGGAAGGATGGTAATCTAATAGAAGGAAATAACAATGAAGGAGAGGATTATGAAGTAACCACAACAAAGTGAAATTAGTTGTCAACCACCATGAGTTTCACAAAATCCTAGTCAATAACTGCAAGGAACATTGTATGAGTGATTATAGAACTTGTTATAACTTGAAATGGATTTGGTATGTAGAGTTGTTTCAATTATATATTCTCTACGAATATTTATTTATGTATTTTTTTGCGCCTATAGGAAACCAGAACTCAGATCATAAAGTCCTCGCAAATGAGGGTGAAATCTCTGGGTAGTGTCTTATCTACAAACCCATCTGCCTTCCAAAATTTACCTCGAAACTTAGATCGTTAAAACTCCCTCGCCGAATAAGAAAAGCGAGTGGAGGCCGAGGCCGAATTTTCGGAGCCCACACTTAGCCAAGAAGCCCTCAGTCCTCATTGCGCACCTGGAAGAACACGATAATGATACTTAGGTTCCGTTTGGGATGGCTTTCTTATTGCTTCTTAAAGCAACTTCTTAGTAAAAAAAATTTTAATTTTTATACTTTAAACTATTTTAACAAGTTATAAAAAAACCGTCCCAAATGAAGCCTTAAGCTCAAATTTGTGCTCCTAGTGGTTAGGAAAAAAGAAGCCAAACTCCTTATAATATGATCAAAGTGCCATAGCATCCCATACTGTAGTTGCAACGATTTCGAATCCTTCACTTTATTTTATTAATGCTCAGGTGTCTGACAAAATGATGAAAAATACTAACCTCTTCTCTCCCCATAAAGTACAACAACTGAAGAGGCATATTTATACCTAACGTTCCTTAGGAGCCTATTATTGCCACGAGAAAGAGTTAGTTCCTTCCTTATTTCATTTCATATACGTATTCCATAATTTTCAAGATCATAAATCGAATGTGTTTCTGCAGGCTCTCCAAGGTTGATGGTTGGTCCAAGCTTTGCTTTCAACTCTGCCAAGTTCATTCAATGGATTTAATAATGGCTTAACAACCTGGACCCCTCAGGCTGAGCTGCTCTTGTTGTTCATTAATCACCCCTCAGTCATTCATGGCTGGCGTGCCAGCCTAATGAAGCACTATGAATACCAAATCTTCCTCCTTTTCAAGGTGGAACATGTGCTTCACTTTTTTCCTGATTTATTGATCAATAAATAGGTAACTTATAGTTGAATACAAAAAAAATTTTGGTTTTCAAATTTGATACAAAAAATCTTCCTTGAATTTGAATCAAACCAAGCTATGGCACTGAGACTTGCTTCACCTAGCTTACAGATATGAATACAATATTTGATTCCATGTGTCAGGAACTCCAGGCAAGCACCAATGGATACAATCTGCATACGTATATGGATCATCCTTCTCCTTGTCTGAGAGTTCTCCGGTATAAAGTGATACATGGCCATCTTTCCTGTAATCCGAGAGCTGTGTTATATTGACAAAGGTAACAGGGAACTTCATCCTCCCAACTATACTTGAAACCACCTCCATCATCCTTTTATTAGAGCCAGTTCCCCAGTATCCTCTTCCTGTTACAGGCTTTGTCTCGTTAGAACAACGAGTTGGTTTCTCTTTTTTCCAATCTGCGCTCCTGTATGTTAAGAACTACATATTTGATTGACCTTATACCTCATAAGAATGAATAATTAGCTCAGCTGGATGGAAATACAGAAAAAGGAAGAGATACCTCATATGTGTGGGGGAAGCTGTGGTGAAAAGGACCCTTGTGCTGCTCCGGTTCACATTGGAATCTATCCAATTGGCCCATGTTTTAAGTGCCATTGTGAAAGCAATGATAGAATCCAGTTCTTCATACCCTTCCTCACCATTGGCAAATGATCCCCACCTAGAAGAAACTTCATGAAAATATCAAAATAAGGTAAATGACTGTGTAAGAAGTTAGAACTTACAGAGACTTCATTTTGGGGTCACTGGTCCACCAAACATAACTATTGAAGATTAAGAAGTCCACCCCAACCCAATGCTGTGCATGTTTGGCGATTGAATCCACCCTTAATATTCTCTTTTTTGTATCTGGGATGATAGGATCGTCAGAATTGGATTCGATGAGGTAAGGTGCCCAGTAGAACTCGATCGTAGCATTGTAATCCTGAAAGCTATGTGATCAGTTGCAGACAAAATTCAATCTTTCAACGGTTTGTGTTAGCATTATCATGCAACGGATCTAAACATAAACTGCAAAGAAGAATTTAACAATCTATCGATAAGTAGGCAATTGTAGTTTGCTCCATTTGCAATTGAAGATGCTTGTAACTACAGATAATTTGAGGGAAAAGTGGGCGAGAACCCAAGCTCCATTTGTTCTTTACCTTTTGCTGATGCTCTAAATCTTTCAAAATGGGAGCTTATTTGTAGACTTCTAATGCTCCCTAAGCAACTTAATAGGGAACTAATAACCGCTAACTATTTCTAAACTTCTAAGGATTCATTTGAGACGACTTTTTTACTGCTTTAAAGCAGCTTTTTAGTAGTTTAATTTTTTTTATTAAAAAAACTGTTTTAAGAGGCATTAAGAAAGCTGTCCCAAACGAAGTCAATAAGACAATTTTAGGAATTTATTGCAGTGGGGATCAAAGGCTTGAGTAAAGAAGGGTCAGAGGATTTATTGAGACATTTGACGGGTTGAAGGGGACTAGACGGGTGTGAAGTCTGCCAGCTTTCTTGCATGAAACCAACTCACGAAGGTCAAAAGCTACTTGATGAAGTGAGAGTCCGACGATTAGTTCGTGAGGAAGGGAGGGCTACAGCTGTTTGCTTCTATAACAATTTTAGGGAACTAATAACCACTTACAATTTCTAAACTTCTAAGACTATAAACAAACACATTAGCTCACCCGTTATATGCCTCGCATATTACCTCAATCTTAAACACAGACAGAGATGGACTACGTTTCATCGACTTCTTATCTGATGGTATATGAGACTCTACCATGCAGACAAGGGACTGCCATTGTTCTCTTTGCAATGAGTCTCCAGAAAACATTAATCTCTTTCCTCTGAGTTTCTCAAGGAGAGCTGTAGCATTAAACCTGAAAAAAAAAATCCAAACATCATAAACTTCTTTCCTTCAGTTACTGAGTGAAAAAGAGTAAAATTACACAAACTTTGGCAAAATGCAGTCATCTAGCTGCCACTCCCAGTACAAGTAGTCACTGTCAGGTCTTCCGTTTCTTAAGCATGCTATTTGCTTATCCAAATATGGGCAGCTCTCATCAGTATAAAATAGTTCTGCTGATGTATTAAAAACCCATTTCCCGTTCTCTATGCTGCAACTTTGATGAGAATTAAAATAACTCTCATCTTCTTCAATGAAATCATCGTCAAATGAGGTGGCCTTTTGCTTCTCCCTCGCTTCTGATGATTACCAGTAAATATATCAAATACTTATCTCAGATATGCAGTCATGCAAACCATACACAAGTAGTTATTACCTGTCGTATTCTTACTAGAATTTGTCACTGTTTCCTTCTTAGAACAGGATTTGTGCTTAAAAATTGAACTTCCAGTGATTGCCCAAAGATCCTCTGTGAAAATTAAACCTGCAAATACCACAGTGGCTACAACGATCGCCATTATGGAGAGTGGAAGCTTTCCCTTAGGTATCTTCATTTAATTTTTGTAGCTTCTCAAAGAACTAATGAAAATTGACAAAGAGAGTACATATAGGGTGAGGAATGGGCTGTGTATAGTTTTTGACAAGTATTTAGTGGTTTTTGAGTAAGAGTGAAGTTAAAGACATGAAGACTGCTGCACCAACTGGTGCTCATTATTTTCAAAGAAACAAGTAATAATTTGCTTTCATTTAACTTTTTGCCTCCAATCCCCTTTAGGTTGAGATCCAATAATAACAGGAGAAAGTGGAGTTTCCCCCACTCCTGCAACTTTCATGATCCATACGATATCTTGTTGGAAAGCAGAAATGTGAATGTCAACTTGCAACCAATAATTTTCCTTAATTGTCTTAATTAGTCGATTATTTTAAGCCAAAACTTTCCCTAATGGTTGAAATTAGTAAACTAATGTTTCATTAGATATAAGGCCCGTTAAACTTTTAGTTTCTTTGTGTTAAATATATTATCTGTTTCTTTGTTTCTTTGTTCAGATAATGAAGTTGCACTTGCCATGGTTGGACTTTCACCATAACTATTAAATCAAATAGAATAACAGATGAGGTAGTTCTCTCATGTGGATTGGGCTGCTGTTCTATCATTTTCTTGGGTATTGGGTAGCTTATTGTGCTAGTGGGTAGAATGATATAGCCTTTCAGCCTCTCTTTTCCACGGTGAAATTTTAAAGTTTTGGGGTGGTTTTTAACTCTTTTTTAGTTTTAGGTATGATTTTGTTGAATTCAATTTTGTCTGTAGGTAATATCTGACCTTACTGAACAATTTGACTAGCTACAGTAAGAGAGCAATAGTGAGAAATCAGTTGAACATACAAAGCAGATGAACATCAAGTCACTCCATGAACAGTAAAAATGGCAACAACTCCCACAAATGCATCAAAGTCCCTTATTTAGAAGGTTAAGAGAACTACTAGAAATGCTAAAATTAAAAATAGATAAATGTTGACCCCTACACATAAAATCAAGCGAAAATAGACGAAAACGATGATTTACGCAATACGTGCATTGACAAAACACATCTCTTAAGGGGTCAAATGACCTCCGAATGCCAAACGGATGGTATCATTGCGATCAGGACACTGAATTCTGCTGGGTCGAGGACCCTCGCAATTGAATCGGAGGATATCGTTCAAAAGAGATGACCGACACCTGAAATTAAAGCGCGAGGCTGATCAAACGATGTCGGATTGACAGAAAGACTTCGTCGTTGCGTCCGGAACATTGTCAACCATTGAAAACTACATTTTCTTTATTCAATTTAAAGCATCCATATTGGTGGCACGGATACCGAGGTAATAGCACAAATTTTTGAGGAAAAGGCCTCATTGTTGTCCAAATGATGTCCGTCGCGAAACGGATTTCTCCATTGTGATTGGAATAACAGAAATACTTAAGAACTACATTTTCTATGTTCAATTTGGATCATACGGGGTGGTGGAACGAATCTTGAGGAAAGAGGACTCGAGGTTGCCCAAACGAAGTCCAATCGCAAAATGGATTGCGTCTTTGCGATTGGAACATCCCAAATATCTTAGAATACCTAATGATGACATTCAATTTAACAAATCGAGGGGCATGCGAGGGAGTCGATACGAACATAGAGGCAAAACACGCATATTTTGAGAAAACTCGGCCTCAGCATCATTCAAATGATGTCTGATCGATGAACGGACTTCGCCAGTGCATCCGGAACACCGTCAACACTCTAAATACACTATCAATTTATTCAATTGAGGTCAATACGCAAATCGAGGCAGTTCTAAAGCGACAACACGCATTTCGAGAGAATTATGCCTCGACATCGTCCAAACGACGTCCTATCTCAAAACAGACTGTCGTTACGTCGTTGCGACTAGAATATCGGCAATACCCTACATGCACTATCACTCTTTCTAATTTTGATATTCAACAAAATTGACATGTTAAAAATGTAAATAGAGAGATTGCACACAAAATGGGACGACTTTGGGTGATCAGTGCATTGCTGCCGTCTCAAATTAATGAGGATACCACCAATAGTATCTCATTACTAAAATAACAAATCTATTTGGCCGAAATGGAAAGTCAAATGAAGGATCAAATCAGAGTTTAATGTAAAACTGATGTTATCTCTGATCAAGTCCCGTAAATCCTGCTGAATGCTCTGCTTTGCGATCACTTCCTGGATATCCTGCAGCTCACCCTGTTTGAATAGGAGGCCTCAATGTTATTTCCATTGATTCTGCTGCCTATGCAAGCAACTCCAAAAATTGAAAACAGCTCCTAACTTCTGATATCCTGCTCAAAGGCAGATCCCACTTCCCACGGTTCAATCCTCCCGCCTCCCTCACAACAGCTTCTACCTCCTTAATCTAAAGCTTTGCCTTACCCGACCTGCTCTCCCCCATCCATATCCATGATCAAGCCTTAGAAACTCCAACACTTCATAGCACCTGATCTTCTCTTTTGTTCGAAGAGATCCACACCTCTTGTGCCTCAAGCCAGCTTCTAGATTTCTTCTTCTGCTACCACATCTCCCCAAGACCGGCTGCAACTCTTCCTCTCATGCATACAGCGTATACTTCACAAACTCCTCCACTAGAGCTGCTCCATGTATCTACCCTTCACTCCTGAAATCTCCCTCTGATCCTCCTTCACAGCCTGTGAGCTTCCCACTGCCACAGAAAGTCTGCACCCAGCAGCCAAAACCTACCCTAAATCCACCTAACGCCATTCTCGCGATCAGACGGAAGCCATCTAGCCTCACAACCGATCCAATATCCAACAATCCATTTATGTGGATGTTTCTTCAATAAAACTGTGCATGGTTCATGACAAGGTAGCAAAGCATGCCATGACAGTCAAATATGGATAAGGAGACAACAGTTATGCAGGCCCTATGCTCTGAGGTGAAGGGATCAAAACATACGACGGTTACCGGCATGGTTCCCGCCACCAAGAGGTCCATGGAGAAGTTATTATTCCATGTCAAAGCTCTTCTTCATAAAAATTCATACAAGCTTTTGGTTGGCTACATGTCATTCCTATCTCAGATGACACCGACTATGGCAGAGACATCTTGCCTTACTTATTTGACACACCCCAACAAACTGGCACTCACATCCCTTGCCACAATGTAGTAGCACTGCAAACTACCAAAGAACAGATAAAGGAGAGGCATTGTAACGTGCAAGGAAGAAACCTTCACAGATCATTGGCAAGATCCGATGCATCCATCTAAAGCAAGAAATGGATCATCAGAAGGCCAAGAAACAGCTCAAAGCCATGGAAGAGAAGCTTAAGGAGACAGAATGCAAGCTTGTGGAGTTTTCTGCTGTTGAGGATGATCGTGTTCAACAGCTTCGCCAAATTTCTCAAGAGGGTGATAAGGTATGGCAATCTGAGCTTGAAGTCCTCCAGGAAGAGCATTCAAATGACTCTGCAGCTCTTGGGTCTTCCATGAATGAGATTCAAAGGCTTAAACAGCAGCTAGATAAATCTAAAACATCCCATGTGGAGGATTTCGAGAGTGAATAAACTGAATTAGTAGCCTTAAAAGAAGATATGAAGACTGTCCTCTCCACTGTTGAGAACCTTAAAGTTCAGATTAATGAGGAAATGGTTTACAAGGACACCTAAACTCTGCAACATCCAAGTTGAAAGAATCTAGAGTTTGAATTAATACACTTGAGGAAATGGTGAAAGAACTCTAATCTTTTGTGAAAGATTATGAAATAGAAAGAGTGAAGCCTCTATTTGAAGTTAAGTCTGTTGCATCACAATCTGAATTGAAACAATTGGGGGCTGCACTTGAAGCAACTGAGGCTAAGCTTCAAGAGGAACAAATTCAAACAACTATGAAGATGCCAGATAGGGTGGAGATGGTTATTGAAAGGCTTAATGCAGATGGTAGAGACTTGGTTTCAGAAAGTGGAATAGAAAATGTCTTTGTGATAACAAAGAAAGTTGACCTTCACACAGTAAGAGGAGACCTCAAACACCACTTCCTCCTTGCCCAAGCAAGATAGTAACTTTCTACTCTCTTTCCATAATAGAGAGTTTAGCAAAAAAAAAAAAAAAAGTTTTGTATTAAAAAAAAAAAAAAAAAAAAAAGTTTTGTATTTGTGCATTTTCCCTCATCGTTGCCACCAACATTGCAAAGGTATAAAATTTCTAATCTCAAAACCTCGAGAGCCCATTTTCGAAGTTCCCGGCGCACCAAAAAAATTGCCCATACGTGCCTTTATTATGCATGGTGGGATGGGACCCCGGTGCAGCGCCTACGATGAGGTAAGTAATCACCTAAAAGCCCTATTTCGTAGTTCGTGGCGCATCGAAAAACTGCCTATACACGTCTTTATTATGTGTGATGGGATGGGACCCCGGTGCGGCGCCTACAATGAGGCGGGATTACTTATAAGTATCTTGTAGCGGGGGGGAAAGCAAACTGCATTTTCAAATAGGTACCCTCGAAGACCCCATACACGCCTTTATTATATGTGGTGGAAAGGAAGATCATGGCCGTGGTGTCCTCGTTCGAGGACACCTATCATACACGCCTTTATTGCGCGTGGTGGGAAGGCTCAATTTCTCGTAGTTTTCTCCTAAACATGGAAGACACAAGGAGGCTGCCGAAATTTTCCCCTTAAACAAACATTCATCCCAGGTCTATAAGGTACCCTTGGACGAAGCAACCCATGGCTGCCGACAAGGATCCTTCTGTCAGTTTGGGTCGACTACCTCCTATGACTAAGTAGACCAGGGACCACGATGGCCCGGGATGATGGAACCATGGGATCTTGATTGGGTCCATCATCCATTCCCCCACCATTTTCTTTAAGTTCAAGATGGTGAAATTTCTAATTTTAAATATCAAAACATTCAAATACCCAAACCTATTGTTGCTACTATATGCCAGATACTACGTATCTCTATGTATCTGATTGACGACTAGCCTTAATCAAAAGTTCTCTCTCGTGATAGAGAGGGGTAATTAACTATAGGGGCTTGCGCCTACAAGAAACCAGAACTCAGATCATAAAGTCCTCACAAAATGAGGGTGAAATCTCTGGGTAGTTTCTTATCTAAAAACTCATCTTCCTTTCAAAATTTACCCTAGAACCTAATTCCATTAAAACTCCCCCGAAAAAGAAAAGCAACAGCAGACGGAGGTCGGGGCCGAATTTTCGGAGCCCAGAATGAAATATATATAATTTGATGAGTACATACTAACACAGACATGTGGACTTAGTTAAAAGATACAAACATAAAAATCTATCTATGATGTAGATTAGGACCCATCTGATGAGTATCCTAAGTGAGTCCTAGGTGAAAATGTCTCTCGAGGGCGAGTGCTTTGGATGATTCCTCTAGGATGGGCATTTTCTTGAGTTCCTTGGAAAAATGGAGAATCCCTTATACTGAGTGACTAGTCTTTAGGGGGGATGTGGCTATGAGTTGAGGATGAACATAGTTGGCAAAGCCATGAAAATTGGCTCTATATGTGTGTTCCTCTTGTAGCTTCAATAAGGTCATCCCTACAAAATAGATGGTCTTAAATAGAAAGAACTATTGAGTGAGATGAGTCCTCCTAGGGAGAGTACCTCTTTCGGTGAAAGCTTGTTAAGGTAAGTTCTCTAATAAAACTCACTCAGTACATGTATATTCTTGATTGAGCTAACAAGCTCTAATAATTCAAACTTAGTTGGGGAGGAAACGTATTGGTTTATGACTTTTCTCCAACAAATACTTCTCAAGATGAGGCTTGTTATGGTCAAGCAAGCCTCTTGACTGAGCTCCTTGGAAAAGAACCTATTTGGTACCCGTGAGTTACCTACACGTATGAACATACAGATTCAATTAAAAATGTTTTAGTTTGCCTAGCTTATGTAATTTTGACAATTTTGATTCAGCTTTAAATAATTCAATATTTCTAATAAATATTTAACAAATAAAAACTAATACATTTTAAACATAATTTTTTTACATATTTTAAAAATTGAATATAATATTTTAATTAAGAGTAGATAATTTAAAGCAAAATTTGATAGTAATGGTTAAATTTCAATTAATTACTATTGAATTTTGAAGCTCTTGATGGGGTGAGATGATTTTGGTGGTTTTTATGATTTAAGTCATATTTTATGGACTATATGTAAACTATCCAACATTAGAAATTTGACGAAGTCTTAGGATAGATTTCGATCAATGCTAAATTTCAGCAAACTTCATGAAAACTATCCAAAATTAAAAATTTAAGCAAGATTTAAGGTGTTTTTTTGCTATAACCAAATTTCAAAGAAGCTTTTTGCTAAGTGTGAAGTGAATAAGGATATATGACAAGATACAATAACTAAATGAGAACATCATTATCAAAATCCCTACACAAATAAAAGGAAAGATCAGATTGAAAGTGGTGAAGAGAAACACTTCTAAATGGGAATTATCCAAATAAGGCGGCATGATTTTTAAAATAAAAAGAATTTTTTATCTAAGAATCCATCTCAAGCATAAGGGATTATCCCATAGTATTTTCATATGTTTATCATGCTTAGTTAGCGTTTTAGATCTTTATAATTATATAGCATATAATTAGGATTTTATTTAGACATTCATTCATTTATTTCATATAATTCAATTGATACAAAGATGACCTTTCCTACATTATCTCTCCTTTCTCTCTTTCACTCTATTCATTCTAATAATGCCTAATTAACTTCTTACTTCTCTAAAGGGCTAAAGCCTTCTCTCTCAAGTAAGACACCACAAAATTAGTGATATACATTACTTGTAAACTTACACCATCTATACATTTGAAATAATTCACTATATCATATCAAATAATGGATTATCATTTACGATAGTCTTGGTCAAAAGTTCACCAATAGTAAAAAAATTAACCAACTCTTCTCTTTAATATATAATCAAGTGAAAATGGCTTTGTAAGGTCTTTCAATTAAACTTTACCATTATACAAAATAAACCTAATAAAGTAAAAGGGGAACTATATGAAAATCATCCCTAAACCTAAAAAATGTGGAAAACTATCATGCAAGGATAAATTAGGTTCATGATGGCATGATTAATCTAATACCTAAATCACATCCAAATTCTTTACAACCAATACACTATAGTATGCCTTATCGAGCCGAGAGAAGCAATATAAATAGAACCTATATTCATTCACTTAGTCTATCACAGTATATCAATTTAAAACAAGTCCTCAAAACTAGTGTTAAATAAAGCATATACTCATTTAATTTATACATTCATATTATCTTTCAACATAGAGCCACTAATCCAAAAAATAATATTTATAGTATATAAGTTTAAAAAAATTAGTTAAATGATTTTAATCTTTACAATCCAAGAGAATATACATTCACCAACAAATTGTTATTACTTTCTTACCAACATATGTATAACATTTTTAGATATATTCAAAAGACACCATACATCATTGATATTACTATCTAGAAGAGAAACTTCTATAACAATAAATTGACCTACATAGAAGTCCATATGCACTACTTTTATATGCATATCACTTGATATAAAAAAATCATTGTATAATCATAAGCACACATCATTATAAATTAGTTCTCATAAGACAACTATAGTCCTATTTTATAGCACAAAGGCTTCTACATTTTACTTGAAACAACATCACATATATATACATATAATATGGTGAGCATAAAACCTAATAGGTCACACAAAACTTACCAAATATTCAATGCATGACAAAATCGACAACATGCATGAATGTCATGTTAGTTATCATATAATGCTTTTGTAGTCTTATTCAAGATACTAAATTAACTACTCAACTATATGATCATGTCTATGTAGAACCAAAGGTTACATGCATGACTTACGGATGTGTATCTGTAAGCCATAATTAAAATCATTATATGAAGACGACATGTCTTGTAACTAGGTATAAGTATGTTTATAAGTCAATCAATAGAATATTAAATTGCATTAGTTCAACTAAGCGATATATTATGACAATAGGGAAGATCAGGTTTATTGGTAAAATTTTGCATATTTAAATGAGAAAATGCATACTCATAATAAATTAATAAAATATTAATATAGATTACACTATTTCAAACTCAAGTCTATCTAAATAGGAGTATAATTTTAGATCATGGTTATATTTTCGAAATATGATATAATAAAGCATAATTCATATCATATCATTCTAGACAAGCTGCAAGAATAACACAACCACCAATTCATATGAATTATACAAATGTAAAGATGCAAGTAATCATACATAAAGGAACATGTTTGTATATAAGAAAATTCAAATGATATATCATATAATGAATTTCAAAATAGTATTTATTTTCCTTGTCAAAACATTATTCAATATGCATTGTAGGATTCTATATAAGAAAGCTAATTAATAATAAATAATTCACATTTGAGAATAAGCATTTATAGAATTATAGTCATTCAAATCATAGAGGGAATTTATATCTTAAAATTATAGAAAATAACATAATAGTAATGCACTACAAATAATATATGCCAAAGTCATCACCCAAGTGCTCATTATCTTGCTCGTTAGCTAGATATGTACCTAAATTAAATGCCCATAAACTAATGCATTATTGACCTATATTGCATGTGTGATATCCTTTTTCATTATGCCATATAATTTGAGCCTCCACCTACCTATATATCTTATGTAGATAAGTTGTTAACTTTCCTTCTTATATTGCTAAAAGATTATGTTCCAACTATGAATCTTTCCTTTTTACACATTTCCTACACATGCATATAGATCTTACATATTCTCACTTGTTATTAACATTCATAAATCAAAATAAATTCTTATGTTATGATATTAGCTATGAATGCTAATCAAGTCATAGTATATAGATTTTACACATATAGGTTTATGTTGCAACTTAGTTTTCACAATTATATTTTCATATCATATGTATTTTTTATGATTCCAAATATTCTTATTTTTATTTACTGTTTCTCCTAACATATATTGGATATATTGATTTTA